GGGGGGGGGGGGGGTTGCACTCCAGGTTGTTGGTTTCCGTGAAGTGCTTAGTGTGTGTGTGTGTCTTTACTAGTAGCACCGACCGCGCTGACCAGTCTCAGTGCGGTTGAAAAAACGAAACACTTTCTAAATGACATGGTGTTGGTTGCGGGTTGTGTTCCGTGTTGCGTCCCGCGTTGTGACCAGATGGTGTATCATTTTGTGGGGTTTAGAGGGCGGGGATACAACCGACAAACCGACCCAATCACAGGGAACACGGGCCTGAAAAGAAACGCGATCTAGCGTGACTGCTTGTCAACCAAGGCGCTCTCTCTCTCTGCATCAGCGACGGTTACAACTCCCCAAACACAATCCACAACCCACACCCTCGCCGCCACCCGGATTCGGAATAAGGTGAAAGAGATCGGAATCCACGTCCAGGACTGAACCGCGTTCTCAAACCTTCTCAGGCCACCGGTACTGCTGTGTGCCGCTTCGTACGCCTGCGGGCCCTGTCCTGCTGCGGACTGCCTGCCGTTTCATTCACCTCGCGAAGTTCCCCCTGGGAGAGAAACGTCTTCTTGCTCCCGTCTGTTCTCCTCCGCGCACCAGGCCTGCAGGCGGTCCTTGAGCTGCTGGACCGCCTCTCGCTTGGGGAACATCTGGGTCTGCGCCACCATGCACACCTGTCGAAGAAGCAGAAGCAGCCGCGCGCATGTACGTAACAGCGGTTCGTTATTCCGGGTGGTTGTTGACGGAGGGGTGTGAAGACGAAAGGCTCGTCAGCCTGCTCGAGACAATAAAATAGTTGGAATAATAGTTTGCCCAACTCTTCCAAGCCAGAGGCGTTGTCTCTGTCCGTGAGCAAGGTAGATACCCTTTGTTGACACTTCGTGTGTCATTGTGTCTGCAACATTACGCGGTTGTTTCGAGCTCGCACCTCTGCCCACACGACGGTTCCGTGAGCATGGCGGCTGCACAGAAGCTGCGAGCAGTGTAATCAACGACAGTTCGTTGCGATAGTTGAAACTGCGCATGGGTACAGGTACACACACGAAATCATTGGCCTGATTACTAGCGTTTTAGAACGCGCACACAACCCATTATCGACGAATACCGAAGGTGCGATCGAGCTTGGGGGCAGCAGCAGGTGAACAACACGACGAGCGTGTTCAACGCACCAACGGTGGGGGGATGCTAGGCCCTCGTCAGCAAGTGCTAATCTAGTACAGCAGTAGTCCATCTTCCCAACTGCAGTAAACACACACAGCATTCCCAGCAGAGTTTCAGAGACACCGCTGGACCAACCTTGACCTTTCAATAGCGTTCACACCAAGAGACGTGAGACAGCAGTAGCACCCCCCGTTCCATAGCGACATCATTCATGATCTTCGTCTACAGTAGCGGCTACGGTTTAAGAGAGGGTCGGTACAAGCCAATTTCACTCTCTTAAATCCGGCTTTCTGTTATATCGTGTTGGCTACGATATAAGAGAGAATTTTCTTAAACAGAATCTCACTTTAAGAGAATTCTCTCTTATATCGTAGACAAAACTGAAGGTCGTGAAACAGGGGCTCTCGCGCACTGACTACACTCGAATGCCAAAATAGGTCATAAAGAGAGCGTATCATGCATGTCACTTGCGCAGCTAGCGTTACCACGTCGGGCTACCTCCAAACACCGCTCATTCTCTTGGTTGGCAAGCACGTGGACCCAAGCACTGCTGTACGTTGTACGCTTTTGGTGGATCTGCGTTCGGAAAAATAAATCATCGTCGTGTGATGCGATGCACATTTTTGCAAGTGGACACGTAAAAGGTTTTGGTTGAGTTGTTTTATAGCTGGGTTTCATAGTTGCACCTCTTCTAGAAGGACAACACGAGGCGACGAATGCACCAGCACTCAAGAACGACGCACCCGTTTACACACTGCACCTTCCTCCCACCGTACCCTCAACATATGTAACACCCTCATACCTCTCATCCCATCGATTTGAACCCCCGACAAAAACACGAGTCAACGAACAAAAAACAGCTTCACAATATCAAAACATCACTCGCCGTACAAATAACACAAACCCAAGAAACCAACGCTACCCTGGCGACCTGTCAGCCTGAACACGATCTGCGCTGCAACCGTCAAAGGAAGTCGCTCATGCACGTCTGCTTGGTTTCCCTCGAACCGTAGGCACTCATCCACGCTAGCTTAGCCTTGCGGAGGTGAAAAGACACTTCGGACATGCGGCACTTCTCGGCAGTATCCTCAAGTTCACCAAAATGATTTGCTACATTCGCGTACGGCGGCGGAGCCGGGGCCGCTGCCGCCGCCGACTGTCCCGATTGGCGTAGCTCAACCAGGTCGTCGTCCTCGTCGTCAGAGGAAAGATCCATGCCCACCAAATTCTCATCACAGAGGTCCTCTACCATCTCTGTAACGATCGCTTCGGCTACCTCCACGTCCTCCCCAGGTGCGGTGTACGTACTGCGGGGCAACATCTTGTACTGAAGCGCAGTCTCGTCGCAGTTGATGATGTTGTCCGGGTCGTACTTCGCGATCATCTCTCGGACCTTGCGGATTCCGTCGGCGATAGCTGCATCGTCGACGCTTCCCGCCTGGCCGTGCAGCTTCCTGGACTTGAGGTTGTGGCGAGCGATGAACTTCTTTGCCCACCCCTCAGAGGCGATGAACTTGTCGAGTCGGTCACGTTCTGCAGGTGTTGATGCCTTGGCTGCGACAGTTGCTTTCGCTTTGCGCCCAAAGGCCTGGATGGCCAACCGATCCACAGGCAGACCATGCGCCCGCGCGTGTGTGAGGAGCTCCATCACAGCCTTTTCCACCTGCCAATCGATGCGAAGGAGAGCAACAAGTTGGAAAACAGCAGGTTCAATTCGTACATGCAGGGTGTGGCAGCGACAATGTTTCTGATCATAGATGACAAGCGCACAGGACCCCAAGTACCAAGAGGTAGAGCCGAGCACACCCTGCTGGACATCAAGTATTCCCCGCAAAGTTTTGAACATGCGATGGACTTCAGACTAGACCTTTTGGCTTTTTGCCATTGCCAAAAAAAAACACAACAGCAGTAGTAGCACGTGAAAAGATCACCAATAAGTCCGCGGGCATCATGCATGTGTACATACATGGCACACAAGCGTGTCTTTTCACAGCAGTACATAACACACAAGCATGTCTTTTTCACAGCAGTACTACTACTACTACCTTGTAATACATAGTGCACATGTGTGAGCGTACCAAAAACTCACATGCTGTAAACCATACATGATCGTGGCGCAGCAGCAGAAACATATTGTATATTACTACATACATAGTTACGAGTACACACGTTTCTAACTTGATTGTTGAACACGGAACAGCAGCAGATACACATGTCTTCTTTCACTTGACTTTTGAACAAAAAAAGAAAACACACCGCCCGTGACACAAAAGAAAAAAAAACTGTCCTGAACGCACCGTTGGAAACTCTCCTCCCTTCGTAGACTTCGCGCCAGCCTTGCCGACCGCTGCTGCGTCCTTAAGCTTCTTCTCGCCACTCTTCCAGCTGTAGACGGTGCTCTCGCCTATCCCCAGCTTCGCCGCGACTGCGGCGACAGACATCGTCTTCAGAAGCTCGATGGCGTTCACCTTCACCTCGACCGACACCCGCTTGCGCTTGGCTGCGCCGCCTTTTTTTTTCGCGCCATGCTGGCCAAGTCTCAAGCTACCACTTGCACCCGGGGAGCCCTTGCCTTTGCTCCCCGAGGAGTTGCGCTTCTCTGACGGCGCGCCAGCAGTCCCACCAGCACTCCCCACGCCTGAAGTCATGCGCTCACGGGAGGAAAGGCAGTTGTGGCAGATGCGATGCATCTCGGAGGTGCCCTGAGGGTCCACCACACCACAGGTGCCATGGAGGTACTGCCTGCAGACTTCTCTACATTGGTGGTTTGTGAACGCCGGCGGGCCTGGCGTGTGATCGGGGACAGCCGTGCAGCGACTGCCCGCCACGCAGGGCATGGTGTCTGCAGCTGTGTGGGTGTGTGTGTCCACGTGGTTTCCACATTGTTCGATTTAAGAGAAAAATCCCAGCTGCAAAAGGAAATTTCTCTTAAATCGATTGTTATTGGTACACGCCAATTCCTCTCTCTTAAATCCGTACTTTCTCTTAAATAAGTCCTCTTAAACCGTAGCCGATACTGTATCATTGTGTAGCGAGAGTTGCACAGTAGCAGGGAACGACGTGGGACAAGTAAATCTGTTGTTGTTGATCGAGAAACGCATAGAATACGGCAGTTTGCGATCACACCTGCTCTAGGCCGGGAACCTTGACCTCTCCTAGGACAGCGTTAGGGTTGTCCCGGTCGAACGCGGGCTTCGCCAGCCTGTTGAACTGTCCGCTCGGTCTCTCCATCGTGACTCCTCCTCTCACTCGCGATTGTCGGCACCTAGCAGCCCGAGGGCCAGCTGAGCGCAGTGCATGTTGATCTTGCCCACCTCCTGCAGCAGCCCAAAACCTTGAACTCGAGCATGAAGCCGTGGCGGTAGCGACCGGCGAAAAGAACGAACACACCAATGGTGTATTGGAGAGGAAAAGGAGAGCGACGATCGTGGCCGTGAAGGGCCGTCGACAGCAGCAGTTCATCACGCCCACGGCCGTGTTGCGTGCAGCGCGTGGGTGCTGCATCCCTTGGCATCGGAGATTGCGGAGATCTTCAATCGGAGAGGCAGAGTTCCAACCACAGAAGCGTTCTTCGCCGTTTCATAATATTGTTGCCGACTCTTTTGGCTCTTTTGGGCGAGAAAGCCGACTATCGACTGGCCCGGATAGTCTGTGTCAAGAACAAATTTACTGTACAGAAACTTGAAAGATATCATGTTTCGGATAGCACTACTACTGCAAAGTAAAATCAGAGAGTGCGCGCAGCAAGCACCTGTACAGCTTCGTAGCAAGTGCCGCGTCTTCAGCAGACGAGGACGAGAGGAACACCGTCAATGATTTAAACATGATATTTGTACTCGGCCTCTATTAATAGTCTAGACTGCGCATGTAAATACCGACCCAGTTAAATCACGACATCTACGTCTCCAAGGAATGATCCATTCAGTCTCAGCCTTCGTTGCTGTCTGCTGTATGATAGCGGTAGAACCAGCGGCACCCGGAGCTGTGTTACGTGCCGATGCTGGTGGAAGCACCAGCGGAGTGCTTGGTCTACGCCAGCTACAACCCAACGTGACGGAGGAGACGGTAGACGACCGTAGCCTGTTGCTGACGGAAGCCGGATCGCCCCATCAACATTTCGACGTTGCTGCCTCGAGAGATTTCGTGAAAAGTCGGGCTACGAGCGATGAAGCGGATACCCAGGATGCTGGCCTTGGGCGCAAGCACCGACACCGGCAGCAACAGAATCAATACCGGGTAGTCCTCGAAAACGTGGACAACGTGCAGTATTTCGGCGACGCTATGATCGGGAACCCTCCGCAACGCATGAAGGTGCGCTGTTGACTACGTGGGAATTCCGACATATGGTACATACAGTTGTGGAATAAGTTATCCGGCTCGTCCACCGCAGAGCTGCAAGTTTGACGCTAAGTCTAACTAAACAAGATGGCTTCTGATGTGTACATGTACAAGTAGTAGTACTGGATATTTATGGTAGGAACTACTATTGAACTACAGTACAGTACGGTACAGTAAGAGAAGGCCATAAATATACTATGCTGGACGATTAGTGATATTTTCGAGGCATCGGCAACCACGGCCCCAGGACCATCGTCCAGATACTTCTACACGGCAACACGTGTGGCGAACGAGGTCAATATTGTATTTCTTCTCCCAGTCATCGAACCATTTTCTTGTAAAACGTGAGGGCGTTGCTTATTTTGTTCTGCTGGCGCTCTTTTCCCCCTCGCTACCTCTCGCAAGATCCTGTTTGACACTGGGAGCTCCGACACTTGGGTGCCCGCGGTCGGTTGCACAAGTTGCGGGTTGCATTCAGGGTTTGACGATGTCGCGTCTTCGACAGCCGTGGCCATGGGCCGAAATTTCAGCAACAGGTTGGTTCATGTGGTGTTGAGTTTGAAGCAGATGTTTGTTAGCGGGCTATAGGGTGACATTCGATTGAAGAGTTACGGACAACCTACTCTTGAGATTAGCAAGGTGTGCTCACTTTCGGCAACGACGATGGAAGTGGGGCACGTGTAGGACAACGTGGACAGGATTGACAGATTGATCTGGTGGTACCAGAGAGAGGTGTGGAAAGAGTACGTGAGACAAGAGGGGCGAGGGCGGACAGCCAACCCGACCGTCGAGGTCACGGAAGGAAGAACATCTCTTCACAGAGAACAGAGAAGCTCACAGACACTACGTGGACTTTTTATCACCGTGACAGGTACGACAGCGGTTCGGTTGAAGGAAGCGTAATCAAGGAAAGCATGGTCATCGGCGGTATGGCGGTCAAGAAGGTGGAAATGGGCTTGGTGAAGCGCCAAGGGCAGCGCATCCAGGGCTTCAAGGCGGACGGCATCGTAGGCCTAGCCTTCCCGTCTATCTCCACGACTCAAAACACCAGCCCGTCGCAGCACTCCACCTTCGCGCAGCTGCTGCAAGAGCAGTTCGGGGGGACCGGTGACCTGTTCTCCGTCTACCTCACTCGTGAGTGTTATGGCCTGACACCGCAGGAGAAGCAACTCTATTCGCTCGGTGCCACGTTGTTTTTGGCCTGTTCGCTCTACACTCTTGTATATGTTGACGACTAACGATGACTCGCGGCACACACTTTTGGTTCGGCGAGGGAACGCCACGTGATCGATCGACCTGACCCGGTGTACCACACCACGTTCACGCTTTCAGAATCCTTGATACAATTTCCTAATTTGCAAAAAGCAATATAGGGTTCAGCTTACTCCTCACTTCAAGCAAAACGAAAGGGAGTGGTATTGTGTATGTAACGTCGGCAGGCCTTCACTTGCTTTTGAACCGCCGCCTCATCTATTCGCAATGAATGGTCGTTTTCTTCTTGCGTCACGTCAGCGTACGGTCCGACTGCCCCCGAAATGATCGTTTTATTCTTGCGTCGCGTCTGCTGCCCCCCCCCCCCCCCCCCCCGGCGGGCACCTGACTACATACATCTACCTTGGTTTTCTCGCACAACGCAGCGTCTCCAAATCAACCCGGTAGCATGGTCATATTCGGAGGCTACGATCTTGACCTGGTGCGTAGACCGAGAGCGAAGGGCAGGATACACAGCCAACAGCCGACGACGGCTCTTGCACAAACGGGCAGCGGCGACGATAAAGCGCGCAGAGAGACGAGGAGCACCGTCGGTAGACAGCCGGCTGTGGGGAGGGCGCACCACGAGGTCTGGCGAAGAGGCGAGGTGCAAAAGGCGAGCCTTCGCGGCGGAGGTAGTCTTGCGCTGAAGCAGCAGCAGCAGCAGCAGCAGCAGCAGCAGCAAGCTCAAGCTCGAGTTCATGCTCAAGGTGGTCGTAACGCCTCGCAGGAGGGGAGTGGCTCAAGCGGCGAGGCGGATTGGGGCCATGGTGGTCCCTTTGCAATCGGCGTGAGGGAAATGAGTAGTAGCGGCATTAACCATGGTATGGCGGGAGTAGGAGCAGGAGGCGAGAGGGGAGGCGGCGGCCTGCCTTCGCCCTCCACCGGGAGGATGGAGCTAGCTTCAGAGGGGAGCTTCATCAAGAGGCGCCACGGGACAGCGAAGGGTAGCGCGGTGGCGGCAAAGCAAAGGTTAGCAGCAGCGGCGGCGGAAGAAACAGGTGAAGCTAGAGAACGTAAGGATACAGGGCATGCACACGCATACTACGCCGTTGGTGACTCTGACAACGATCATGATGATGGTGACGACGAGCCTGTCATCGTCTGGACCCCGGTGGTAGAGTACCGGGGATCGCTTAGCTACTGGACGGTGGAGCTCACGGGGTGGCGCACCGAGACGGCCACAGACGGCAGCAGCAGCAGCAGCAGCGATGGCGGCTCCGCGGCAGCAATAGCCGGCGGCCGGTGGCAACACATGCGCAGCAACCTCAGCGCCGCGGATGGGCAAGACGGCGGCGGTCACACAGCGGCGACGGCGGGGATCGTCACCACCGCCGGTCCCGAGATGTGCCCGGACGGGTGCCAGGCCATCGTGGACACGGGGTCATCCCTCCTGGTACCGCCGAGGAGCCAGTACCGCGAGGTGATGCGGCAGATCATCGGCGGCAGGGCGGACTGCCGGTACCGATACGGGATGACCTCGTGCTCCGAGTGCGGCAGCCCGGACGACTTCCCCGACATCGTTATCTCCGTTGCTGTGGCCCCGCCTCCGGGGCACGGGGGGGGAGCGGCGGCGCGGCGGCGGCCCATGAAGAGTGTACATGGCGACAGCGAGGCCGGTATCATCAACGACGGAAGAAAACACAACAGGCAGCGGACGGGTGGCGGTGGCGGTGGCGGTGGCGGTGGCGGTGGCGGTGGCGGTGGCGGTGGCGGTGGCGGTGGCGGTGGCGGTGGCGGTGGCGGTGGCGGTGGCGGTGGCGGTGGCGCGTGGCGGTGGCGGCGGCGGCGGCGGCGGCGGCGGCGGCGGTGGCAGTGGTAGCAGAGGAGGAGGAGGAGGAGGAGGAGGAGGAGGAGGAGGAACCAGGTGGTTCCAGGAGTTCCGCCTGAAGCCGTCCGACTACCTGTCGCAGAGCTGGGACGGCTGCGAGGTCCTCATCGGCGAAGGGCGGGCGACCGACATCTGGACCCTAGGCGACGCCTTCATCAAGACCTACATGACCATCTTCGACGTCGCCAACCTCCGCGTCGGCTTCGTCTGCCCCGACGGGGGGCGATGCCTCGGTGGAAACCCCGCCGCCGCCCCCTGGCGCCCCACGACGCGCTTCTGCTGGCCGTTCCCGGGTAGGAGCACGGCCGACCAAGACAGCGCCGATAGGCTGGGGGGCACCTACTGCTTGTACCTCCACTACAGCTTCTTGGGGTGGGCCCTGATGGCCACGTCGGTCGTTCTTTTCTTGGCGGGTTGCCTGTTTGCCGCCCACGAGCGGGGCAGCAGCGGCGGCGGTGCTACTAGCTTGGTGGCGGTGCCGTTGTCGTCACCGCCGGCGCAGCAGAACAACTGCACGCTGTCGAATCCTCCGTTGCCGCTCCTCTTCACGGCTCGGCCTGAGCGCTGTTGTCAGCAGCAGCAGCAGCGGCAGCAGCAGCAGCAGCCGCGATCACGGCGGCAGGAACAGCCGGAGCTAGTAGAGGATGACGCGGAGGCTGTGCGCGGCGGCAACGGCAGGAGCTTCGGCGGTCCGCGAAGTCCGGTCGGTGGCGGTATGGCCGCGGCCAGGAGAAAAACCCCAGAGAAACGGCGCGGCGGCCGTCAACCGGGAGGAGGAAGCGGGGGAGGAGTCCCGTTTCGCTGGGCCCAGGGCTCCAAAGATTTCTTGCTCTCTTTCGCCGGCAGGAGCGCTGCCGCGGCCGGATGGGTGGTGTCGCTGGCGGCGGCGGCGACGAGCGCGCGACAACAGTGGTTTTCCCGGCGCGATGGCCGGCGAAGAAAACCCTAGAGCCGTCTTGCGTCGCCCTGCGGCAACGGCGGCTCTTTCGGCGGCAACGGCGCTGTTGTTGCAGCGGGAACCTTGTTCGGCGACGGGATGCGAAGAAGGTCTCCGTCTTGCTTGCCCCTCTTCCTCTGTTGCCGGAGAATACAGAGCTGCCAGCAATGGTGTCGTTGCAGGCTGTGTCGATTGCCCTTGTTCTGCTTCCTGCGTCAGTGGAGCATCCCCCCCCCCCCCGGTCGAATCGGATCGGAGAGTTGTGTAGCGTCCTGGCCTTGGTCTCGGGAGCGCGCCCAGCAGCGAGCCGTCGTCGCAGAAAACGCATTCGACCCCCTTCAGGGCAGATGCGCGCCTCCCTCCCTCCCTCGCTATGTTGCTTGAGTTCAGGATGGCCGTTGGGCTTGTCCGCAGAGAAAGGTACGCGTGGGGAATCCGCTTGGCGTATTTTGAATCAGTTTTCCTACATTATGAGAGGATGACTCCCATTTTTGTTGGGGGGAATTCTTTGCCCTTTACCGCCATTGGGTCTCGTAGTCTTGTACTTCCGAGACTTTCTTTTGGTCCTTTCGTCGAAGTATTGTATTTTACCTTGTAAGCTTGTGACAACGGGCTCCCTTGGTTCCATGTGTACAAGCATGGAAAAGGAAGCCCTGGATAACGTAAAGAGGCCAGAGCAACTTTAGATACGAACATAACAACCTCAACAGCAACAACGCTTGAGGTGCTTGTAGACGGTAACCCTTTCGACGACAGTGTATACCAGACCCCATTTGGTTCATGTTTCTAATCTCGATTTCCTGACGGGAGAAGACGTTTCGGTGGCGAAAAGAGCAGCGTAGAAAAGGTGTGAGCTCTGTCCGTGCTTGGAGGGGGGGCGGGAGTGTGGGGACACTGGATGTAGAAACGAAATCAATTTTTGATGAAACGTCTCGAGAAAAGGGAACATCAACGAGACGAGCGACCATCCAAGCACACAAACCGCGGTGCTTGAAGGTTGATGACGGGACGAAAGGATTCCCTCTCCTTGTCATCTGTGCGTGCGGTAGGAAGAGTTTCGGGGCGAGCTGGGCGCATTTTTTTCGCTCTTGTTGCATGATCATGACGGCATTACCCAAAGGGTTAGGGTGGTGGTGCAGTACCTCATGTTTAGTGGCGAACGAAGCGAGCTGTGGGCACCGGTGATGGGCTATCAGGGCCTCCATTTTGGCAGCAAGGACCAGTCGTAGTTCCAAGCCGAGCCCATATTACAAGCCCTCGAAAAGAAGACGGTGCTGAGTAAATCTTAGAGCCCGCATCAGAAGAAACATTTGTTTTGATGTTACCACACAATAGCGGCCGGTGTGTACGCGGTGATTTCGTCATCCTTTTTCCCGTGAAAAACACGGACAACCAATTCTCCGACACGCCGTTTATTCGCCCTGGAAAATCTCACCAGGAGCCTGAGAGCTCGAACTTGTGTCCACCCCAGGTCTGAACAGCACATCTTCCAATCGCCTTACCTTGCCAGCCAGGCGATGGGTGCCTTACCTTACCAGCCAGGCGATGGGTGCCTTACCTTACCAGCCAGGCGATGGGTGCCTTACCTTGCCAGCCAGGCGATGGGTGCCTTACCTTGCCAGCCAGGCGATGAGTGCCTTACCTTGCCAGCCAGGCGATGGGTGCGTTCACAGCATACATGCATTCACGAAGTCTCGGAGAATGGACAAATCATTTCAGTGGAGTCCTATGCATATGCATATGGTTCGGCGACATGTTGAAGAGCAAACCACGACCTGCGCGCCCTCTCCCGACCGATCCAAAGCCTGCACGGAAGCACAGTGCGAGAGGAACTACCTGTACCCCAAGTCGGGCTGAAAAAGTCCACCGTTGACCGTAACGCAAGCAGCAAGTGTTGCTCATCATCGTGGGGCAGAAGGCTATCTTTTCCCACACGTGAAGTGACGAATTTCACCGGGAACATGCGTGTGGTGCGCTTTTCAAGTTGGGGATTCGTTACCCCCGGCCCTACGCGCACGCCTGTGGGTACAACCTAGCCCCCTCACCCGCACCGGCCACAGCCTTCCCTCAACGTGTTGTTCTTTGTGTTTTTCTTTTGGCAAAAAATCGATAGGGGGGTGGTGGCACGCACCCAGAGTCCCAACGAGCTGCACAAAAAAAGTTGAAAAAAATAACAACTTACGGCGCAGCGCTACGGGGCAACTCCATATGTACCATGGATGAATAGCAGAAAGCAATGACGTTTGTGTGTACAGCTCCAGACAGGAGAACACCATGCCTGGCGTCTCTCGAAAGAAAGACAAAATAAAAAAAAACTGTACTGTAAGGAATCTAGAGCCTGACCAAAAAAAGACGCGCACAAAGATTAGAACCTCCTCGATCGCGCTACAGCCCAGCCGTCCTGGTCCCTGCTGTACGGAAAACGGCGAAGACAGCGCTCTACACGTTCTTACCCGCCCGCTCTTGGTGCAAGCGAATACATAAGTACAAAAATACATGAATCGAAAAATACGCATGCATACGTTTTTCCGCTCGGTATTCCCCCCACACCCCCTTTAGGACGCGTGGTCAATGGTTCAACCGCTAAGGCATGCAAAACATAAGAGTACGCCCCCCCCTCCCCCCCCCTTTTTTCTGCGCGTTCGCTTCGTACGCACGTCTTGTAGGAAGGAAAAAACTCCTCCTCCAAGCACAAAAAAAGCTTCCGTGGAAAATCCGAGCGTGGAGATAGGCTGAAACAAGAAAAGAAGAGAACGGTGGCAGTCTCCTTGCTACTACCGTGCATGCCTGATTTTGCCCTCAACTTTAACCCCCCTTTGGCATTTGCTCAAGGGCGGCCGCACGTTCAACGAGTGGGTTGAACAAGATGCCTCCCGTTCGTTTCTGTTCCGCTGAAAAAAAAAAAAACGAAGCAGTTGCGCCCGGTGGCGATATGTACACTTGGAGACGATCTTTTTTCTCTTTCCGATAAACACCCCCCCGTATATTGCTAATTTCTTTAGATGACACACACGTGGCATGAGGCACACGGTCCACTCGATACAAGGTTGGCCCGATGGGCGGCGCATGAATAAAAAAATAAATAAAATGAACGCGACAGAATAACCCGAACACCTTCCTTTCCGATTCGATCTTGTCGAACAGAAGTCAGGCCGTCTGCTCGTGACATCAAAGCTAAAATCGCGTGTCGCGGATGCAGAGATAGATAGATACATGACTCATTCTTTCGTACGATAGAAAAACCAAAAGACAACAGTACGCCAATTTTCAAGGTTGCGTCAATCAGCAATCGGCCCGGGGCACAACCAACCCTCCCGCCGAGCCTTTTTTCCCTCAAAAACGAAAACGACAAAAATCAGCAGTTATCTAGCGTTCTCAAGGACGAGTCTAAAGGCGAACAGACCAGGAACACAAAAGGTTATTCTTTTCTCATGCCCAAAGAGAGTCCGGCAAGTGCATGTAAAAAAAAAAGACGGAAGACGAAACTAAGGAGTACAAGAACCTCTGTTGTCTCGTGCTCAGAGGCACTTGCATTCCCAGCGCAGCGCGTTTACGCAGACCATACCGACGTCGTAACAGATGACAGCGGTAGGTAGTCCTCCTCTCTTCATTGCTGCCCGAAGCCCGCCTGCCTCACGTACATGTAACAGGTGACAGCAGCAGCCCTCATCTCTTTCTTGCTGTCAAATACCCGCCGGCCTCTGGTGCTCTCCATTGTTAAACAGATGACAGCAGCAATCTTCTTTGGCTGTCCGAAGCCCCGCCTCAGGCGCTCGCCATTTTTTAACAGGTGACAGCAGCAGGTAGTCCCCCTTGGCTGTCCGAAACCCGCCCGGCCGACGCCCTCAGGTGCTCTCCGTGGAGAGGAGGCGAGCGATCTTCTTCTTGCAGGAATTCCCGATCCAAGAAGCCTGGGCAACGTCCAGCGGCGTCTGGCCTCTGATGTTCTTCACCTGTGGGTCGGCGTAGTGATTCACAAGAACCTGACGATCCGAAACGTCGGGGTGGGGCAAAGCAGAGGAGGGCAGTAGAGTAGTTGGGTACAACCAAGTAAAATTGGGGCATTTTCTTAGCCGCATGACTGTTCAAATTGGGGCATTTTCTCAGCTGCCTGACTAGCACATCCTTTGTCGATCATCGATATCCGGGTGAAGTGGGTCCCACCCAGGCAAACTATCCGGCATGACATCGGCAAGATTCTGAAACAAGGCCAAGTAGATGCCCACAATAGAGGACACTCAATCCACCCAGACACACCATTCAACATTACCTTCAACCTTTTCATTCCATGCAACGATCGCTTCTCTCGCGCAAACTCTTGACCTAAAACGAAAGGGACTGGTCAACACAAAATACATTCATATCGTCAAACAAATAGAACGGGTTTAGATCTCGAACGGGTAGTCTAGTCTTTCTGTGATTGTGTGTAAATGTCTAATAAGAGAGGGATCAACACACTCAAACGAACCAAAAAAATATAAAGAAAGGGATAAAAAGCCATGTTTAACATTGGTTTTGGTCATAAACGTAAGAGAGCGATCAACAACAATAAAAAAAGAACCAAAAAAGAGTATTAGATGTATACGCACCCCGAGTGCGGAGATGGCTCCCTCGGCAGATGCCAAGTGCAGCGGCCTGTTTCCGACGCCGTCTGCGGCGTCCACGGAGGCACCGCGGTTGAGGAGGAGGCGGACGGTGGAGCAGTGGTTGCGCCGCGCGGCGCCGTGCAGAGAAGTGCCCGAGATGTCGTCCTGGTGCTCGAGGTTGGCCCCTGCGTCCAGAAGGAGCTCGACCACCTGCCGGAAAAAAAAAAAAATCATGGCACACACGACGGCAGTATTTTCATTATTAATACGTAGTAGCTTCATGTCCGACACCACGTGTGCGCACCCGCTGTTCAACACGCATGCGCCTTACCCCCTAGAGATGTGCCTGGGTCCGAGGAAAGTTTTTGACGGAGACAAAAAAAAAAAAAAAGTTGTGCGGAGTACCTCCGTCCTTCCAGCTACCGCCGCGCGGTTCAGCGGGGTGCTCCCGAGGTTGTTCTGCGCGTGGACGTCCGCCCCTCTCGCCAGTAGCAGCTTCACGATGCCCACCTCGCCTTGGCAGGCGCTGAGGTGGAGCGCGGTATCTCGGAAGTCGTCTTTCAGCATCACCATATTTTTCATCCTCTCCTCGCCCACGTGCTCCGCCGAGGCTTGTCCCAGTATGCGGGCGGCTGGGGGTGCACACGGTGATTGACGGGAGGAAGCGCGTTTCCACGCACGCGTCGTTTAAAAACGTGTTACGTACGTACTCTTCGGAGAGATAAAACGTAGAGGTACCTGTGTAATGCCGGCCAAACCTCTGCACTACTCCTGTAACTAAAACCTACGGTATGGCGGTGTCTCGTACAGTGCCCGTGATTTTTCTGGGTACTTGCCGCAATAAACAGGGACCTCTACTGCTGTACCTCTGCCCTCCGGAGTGTGCTCGTGAGAGCGCAGCTGTGTCTGCCATCAAGGGGGTGCTGATGCAACATGAAATAATAGCAGGTAACAGAGGTCGTCCATAGCATGCATCGGAGAAGCGAGGGTTGTCGATAAGTTTTATTGCGAGTGCCCAAACTCGGGGAGGCAGGAGAAATAAACAATCCGACAAAGCAGCGGGCGCACGAGCAACAGCTACTTACACTTCGGCTCTGCAAATAAGCGTACAACCTTCACCTGCTAGCGCTGCTGCTGTTACCCATCCTGACCCAGGTCTACCCGATGTCTCCGGCAAACAATTGCCTACTGCGTTTCGGTCGCGCTAGAGGTTCTGCTTCTGCAGTTGCCCCCTTGGGGGGTGTGAGTGTTCGAATAGGGCAGGCCTCCTTGCCATTAACTCCGGGGAAAGCACACCAGCAAGTTAGACACACACGTTATTGCGAAAAAAAAAATTCAGCATTGTTCACCGTCACTGTCGTGGTGCGTTCTATCGGCAAGCTGCGTTGGCAGCACACGAGCAGCTTACAACTCCCCCTCCTCATCGTCTCCGCTGAATAGCCATTGGAGTGGTGCCTTCATAATGATTGTGGTACAGCAGAAGCATGTGATTTTTTTTTCTAATAGCTGCAAACTGCTGCCGCCGTGCATTCGATTGTAACCACCTGACGCATCGCTTCTGCATGCCTCGCGACGCTGTCGGTTGTGCTGCAGCCAAGACTAACGGATGCAACATATAAAAACACATGCCCCCAGTGATGGTAAATTTTACAAGAAAAAGTAGTATGTACAGCAGTACGCCAAACATCACAGGATCACCATAACTCGTTCGAGATAGGAGGGCATGTTGAAGTCCTTGCAGTGAGAAATTGCAAATACATTCATGTACCAAGTATGTACGCTATCTGCCGGATATATTGCGTCCCCAAAACCGACAAAGAAGCAATACCCAAAACAGCTGTCGTGGTGAGCCTGCTACCCACAGGCGAGATATAGCATAGCTGTGTGCTGCTCGGGAAACCGTAGAAATACAGGTAGCTCTCTCTGATATGGATTCATTGCTACAATCTATCTCAGACTCCTTTTTCTACGGATACGAGATGGATTTTGTTGTGTCATATCAGGGAAAAAAATAAAGAAAATCAACCGCTGTATTGGGCGCTGGAGTCGTAAGTCTCGTGAAGTCCTGACGTTGAGGAACCAGAGGTTTGTGCGGGCCAACAGCTGTAGTGCAATGTCCTCTGATTGGGTGAACGGTCAAAATCTGCAGATAATGCGTGCAAGTTCTTGCAGGTTGATGTTGAAGGGTAGGTTTGTTGAAGGGCAGGTTGATGTTGAAGGGTCAGTTTCGCCACATTGCTGTTATCATCAAGGAAAACTACATACCATGGTATGTACCCATTGCAGATAGCACCCGTCCCAAAGGATGCGTTGAAAAAAATCAGTCGTAAGGGTGTGAAGCGCCCCCCTGCTCGATGATACGCACATGATCTATTGAGCTGTGTATTGCACTGCGAGAAATCCGTGATGCTAGCCGCAACATGATCGGCTAAGAGGTACTCTGAGGCTCCTCGGTGCGAGTTGTTGTTTGCCCCTGTAAATAACCCGGAATGTGTGGACCACTGCTTTGTTCCAGGTAGACCAATTTTCGAGAAGACGGCACGTCACTACATATTGTACTGTCTGTTACAGATAGTAGGACCGTATAGTACTACTGCTACTATCGGTAATGCATATGGGTTGGGTGGTGGAAAGTTCAATGTCGAAGACGGACAGCAACCTACGCCATGCCTATGTACTACTTGGACAAGAGCCTGAGGGAGTTTGCAGCAGTCGCGAGGGCTACCCTGACAGAAGCTCACTACTGCTGTGTTTTCCTCTATGATATGTAGAGTGGAGCCCGCGAGTGGTAATGGAGGTCATCGATATCTTTGAGACACGCCCGAAATTTCACACGGATACTTTTATCGTCAGCAGGCGGAGCTATGAATTATCGAGAGACTGAAAACTTGACAAGAGAGCCAACGTGCGCGCCTTTATGCGGCGTTCGACCGACAGCACGCAGCGCGTATGGTAGTTAACAGCGAATGCGGGTGGGCGTCGGGGCGCGTACCGTCCAAAAATAAAAGCGGGGTCTATGGACTGATCGTATGCATACGTCCCACGAAGTTCTCCCGCGGCCGTGATGCCACGCCGCCACGTCGTGGTGTTTGCTAAAAATCTACCGACGTTGAAAATCTTTGGCACAAATTTCTAGCGAACGACATTATTTGCAACGCCAACAACGAGGACTCGCTGTAAGATGCCCCAACCACGGAGGCACTAGAGAGACGAGAGAGAGGGGGGGGGGGGGGTGCTGGTCAGCCACAACCCAGCTAGCAGTTGCGGCTCAACCAATATTCGGAGAACTTCAACCGGACGATAATGGAATCGCGAACAGACGGACACATGCATACGTTTGTCTCGGAGCTCGCTCGCGACAGCAGTAGTACACACCTTTTCCGACGTCGCGGTTGCAGCACGCCTCCAGGAGAGCCACAGAGTTCCTCTCGCACCACTGGCCCGTCTTCATCACCTCCGCGGGTAGCTCGTCTCGTGGAGAGGATGAGGGTGGCTCCTCGCCGAACATGCTGTCCAAGTCAAGGGCAACTGCTGGTTCTAGCTGCAACGAGGGCGGCGGTCGGCATCCGCCGCCGAGGGACTTGCGCGAAGCGGGGCCTGCCGCCACGACCTGAGACTGCTGCGCTTGGTGCACGAGCATGCTGCCCGCGGATCAGCGTGCCCTTTCGCCTTGGTAGCCGAAGTCGGATAGCGCACGCAAGCCCGGCTGTAGGGAAAAGGAACACACGGACCGCCCGTCCTCTGATCTCGTATCAAATCTTGGTTCGGTTCGGCGGCGGCGTGTTGATGATGATGACTCTCGAGCCCGACCAAGCCGGTGCGCGCGTGCGGTGCGCGTTATGCCTCTCCCCTAGAATGTAACAGCACCCCCAAGCACTCCAATGTTTTCGGCAGCAGAGAGGAGGAGCACGAGCAGGGGGGCGGGGAGTGCCCGAAAAGCAGAGAGAGAGCAAGGGGGCAGGGGAGCAAGTAGTTGTTTTCTGGAAAAGGCGCGGCAATGCTGGCGGAGAGACAGCGAGAGACAGTTCCGCGGGGCCCCGCAATTGGTATTACAAGAGGGACGGGTACACCTTCATCTCGCGCTCCCGCCGGTCTGCTCAGCAGGCTGTAGGCAGGTAGGGCTGTTTGCTGACATGTGTCAATGCCACCAAGGAGTTACGGGGAGTGGTTCTCGCTGAGGAGAGCTGCTGCTTGAGCGGTGCTTGGATGGTGTTTGGAATCTACCGCCACAATTCATTGAGGTGAAACTCAACCGCAGTACTGCTGTGAACGGTGGCTGTACCCGCGGTCACATGATCCCTACAGCACTTAGACGGCCCCCCTTTTCATGTGTCCACCCGTGTCGCAAGCTGCTCTCTGTGCTGCTGTCCCGCCGCTGATGTGTGGGTGGCTCTATGTACCGCAGAGTCATCGCGCGCCTTCGCCTCAGTGGCAGCAATGGTCGTGCTTCCCTAGTCGCATCCATGCACTGCGGCTGACGAGAAGGGCTCACTGTATAAACACTATTTAGCAGCAGTGACTCGCTCAACCGACACGCACGCACACGTTGCCCGTTGCTCTGCGCAAGCATGCAACTGGATTCCGTGGTATTGAGTAGAAGTATCAAGCTACAAGGTAGAAATAGATCACCAGGACTGAATACCGTCGTCGCTGAGTACATGCAGCAAAGCACGCATTGTGTAAAAAAAAAGGCACGCTATTGTTGGTGTCGAATCCTCTTTTCCGGCAGCGTGGAATGATTGAAAAGATACCCGGTTGGTTTAAGGATATGGACGTGTGGTGGTGCTTGACGTTTCTGGGCCGAGCGTGCTTCTAATGCTATTAATTGTAACAACGGTAGACGAAGAATGGGATGGTACGGTATATTTCCAGGGATTTGGTACCGTGGAGCAGCGGGTCATTGTGTGTTATACATGCGATATGGGCCCGGGTGTGCAAGGTGAACCCCTGTTATATGTGGTGTCGCCCCGGAATGGGGCCGGGGTGTGTGGCGGTGGCGGTGGCGGTGACAGAGAATATAACGCGACCTCTCCTTGGCGCGTTCACGCCGACCGGCCTTTTCCTTTCCAAACACGCACGTCTGCTCGTTTGGATCAACCCACCAGCTGATACTGCATGGATGGATGGCCTAAGGTGGTATGCAAACATTTCGAGTTTCGCCGCGGTTCTGTCCTCCTCGCGCCGCAGTAGCCTCGTGAAGCGGTGCACCTGCTGCACGGAGCCGGAAAGCTGCTCCCTAACCCGGCGATGCATCCGCCGAGGCGAATGAAATTAGCAGTGGTTGCGCTGTGCCTTCATCGAACGCTGGCCTTCTCCTGGACCCCACAGGGTGCAGTGCTTCCCTCAGCAGGCGCAACAGCGGCACGATTGCACGCTGCACGAGGTGGGTGCTTTGCCGCCCCCACCGGAACATGGAGGAAGGCACGAAGACGCCGACGTGTGGCGGTACCCCAGCCTACACGGCTCGCGGCAGCGGCAGCACCAGAAGCGGAGAGCACGGCGCTGATAGGGTCAAAGCGGCAGCAGCAGCAGCAGCAGCAGCAGCCACGCAAGAAAGGCAAGGGGGCCACTGGCGCCAATCTCCAATCCGTGGACTTCACGACGGCGCTACTCATGAGCCGGGAGCTCGAGCAATCGATTGTGCCGGCACGCATAGAGAACGCCTACCAGATGGACGCGCACAACGTGGCGCTGCAGCTCCGAACCCTGGAGGGCAACATGTGGCTGCATGTGTCGTGGCATCCCAAGGGCGCAAGGTACGGGCTTCACTAGCTCATTTTTCCGAACAAGAACAGACCCTTAAAAGCAAAGATAGTTCTGCGTAGACCCAGCTGCCAGCTGTGGGAATGTGTTCGGAGAACGCGACTAATTTTAGGCAAGAGCGAGGGTCGCTGAATACGGAAACTACAGCATTGCTCAGATGTGGTACCGTTTACGAAGTATGAGACTACACTAGAGAGAAAGACCGATTGTGGAACGATAGCCGTGCGACAGCAGCAGACATCCCGGGCGCGCGTAGCTCACACCTTGACTCTTAGTCTACTCGTCGTAGGCAAGAGACGACTGCAACAAGGGCTCGTCGTGGGACACAAAAAAAAACTGCCAACTCATTGGCGAGAGCCTTCCTGTCCTCTGCCGCTGCACTCCTGATCGCTGTGGCATCCCAATGCCTGGCAGGTGCCACGTGGGTGGGGACGTGCCTAGGGAGAAGGAACAAAAGGCGTACACCTTCTCGCAAACGCTGCGGTCGCAGATTTGGGGGCTCAACATAGTCTCGGTACGTGCTGTCACGTCCACCCTTGGCTGTTTCGTGGCAGAGGTGTGGGCACGGTGGTGGCTCGGTGCGACTTGCTCTCTTATGGAAATGACCATGGACGGATTTTTCTGTTAGTCGCATGTCGATGTGTTTGACTGCGGCAGTGTCCCTTTCTCCTCTGCCTTCTATCGTCAAGACCAGGCACCTATGGCGTTGCTATAATAGGGCTGCAAGACAAAGGTATATTCTCGTACCCCCCCCCCCCCAAGCCCTCTCTTCTCTGTGACGAAACCATGTGATCTCGTCACCCTCGAAGGTGGGGCTCGCGCGGCCGATGGAGCGCGTGGTGCGGCTCGACCTCGCTCCGAGGCTGGACACCCCCTCGACCTTCCGCCTCTACGTCGAGATCATGGCCAGCCGCAGCAACGTCGTGCTGGTCGCCGTGGACGAAGCGAGCGGGTCGGAGACGATAGCCGCGTGCGCCTACCAGGTCAGCCCGAGCAAATCGGTGCGGCCGCTCTCGACAGGTCAGCAGAGCCAACGGAGAAACAAAATGGAGAGCAACACTACAGCACCCCAAAAACAACAGCAGCAGCACGGTGAAATCTCAGTATTGGAAAATATCCATACAATCACAGAAAGACTGTAGCACGAAGGGGATGTGTTGAAGTCTTTGCGGTTAATGGGAGTAAAATCGGGTGGAATACTGTTAATTGTTTCGCAGACGTATGTATGTCCACTCCAACAGTTGAGAAGCGCTCAATCTTTTTGACAGTAAATAGACGGAGCATTGGCACTCGCTGTGCGGGCCCTACGAGGGAACGGCGGGGAAAAATATCGAGGACGAAAAAGAAAGATCTTCAGTGAGAGGGAAGGGAGATTTTGAAACCCTGCGGACGACGTGATACTCGTCGTTATAGAGCTCCTCCAGCGTGTGTAATAGCCGACCTGAAAGAGAGGCACAGAAAGAGAGAAGGGTAGAGAGAGAGAGAGAGAGAGAGAGAGAGAGAGAGTTGCTGACCTGTCCGTCCGGCTGCCGCCGCTCGCAGGCCAGGCCTACGAGCTTCCCCCGGCCATGACGGCGCGGCGGCGCCCCCGCCCGGAGGAGCCGTTCGAAGATTTCGTCGAGGCGGTCGGCAGGGTCCCCACGCAGCAGCTCAAGAAGGCCCTCGTGGCCGTGTACCAGGGCCTCAGCCCCATGCTGGTCACCGTCATGGCCTCTCGCGTCCCGGGGCTAACGGCGGCGACCAAGGTCGGGGAGGTGTCCCCTGAGCAGTGGAGCGCGCTTTTCGACGGTCCCTGGAAGCGGTGGTTAAGGGTCATCGGGGACGGGGGGGACGCTGCCGCTGGCGCGGCGGCGGTGGCAGATGGTGCTGGGGCGGGTGGCGACGCGGCGTCGAACGTGCCGACGAAGCCGTGGATTTCGGAGGACGGTGCGTCCTACTACCCCACCACGCTTGGAGAAGGAGAGGGAGACGACGACGGGGCTGCCGATGTTGCTGCGGCAGGACAGGGCGGCAGGAGCAAGGTGTTTAGCCTGGCCAGGCTCGAGAAGATCATGGAGAAGTACTACCGGGGCACCCAGAGCAACGAGGAGTTCGACGGCCTCAAGCGGAGGTGCCTCTCGAGGGTGACGGCGACGCTGGCCAAGCTCAGGGAGCGCGCGGCGGAGTTCGAAGACCAGCAGGCGGCTGCGCAAGAGGACAAGGTACCGTCAACCTAGGCACTTGCTTACGTGTTTGTGTCCCTGGGTTGTTTTTCTTTCTGCATGTGCGTGACCTTGGGGCCTTGTTCAGCTTCAAGGGTTTTTGCTCTTGTGGGCAAGAACGCCTGTGTATGAACTTGGGGGTGGACAAGTGTGCACGTTTTTTCCTCTTTGAAAAATATTTGCTGCTTCGCTGCTTGTCCCGTCTATAATCTGCAGCAGTAAGAGAGTTACTTTTTTCGTTGCTGTGGTCTTCACATTACAAAAACGTTCCGGTCTCCATTAGTTGCCTTCCTACGATCCATACTGGACCGCCTGATGCGGACTCCTTCCGTGGTCACAGGGCAACTACAAGGTGCACACATTTCTTGCAGTCGAAGAACGGAAACAAAAATAAGGCCGAACTCGCGTGCCAGGTGTCCGAGCTGAACCGGCGAGGGGATCTGCTGATGACGTACGGGTACGACTGGGAGTACGGGCAGACGCACGTGCACTGCGAAGACTTCGACACCGGGGAGCCTGTGTCCATCGAGATACCCCGAGGTCGGAAGCCTGAAAATGCCCCCGTCCCCCTTATTTCGCGAGTGAGGGCGGCACCGAGACGGCGTTGGGTATAAAGGAATGTTTTAGACGATATTTTGTCTCTGCTTGAATGTTTTTCGTTTTGCGAAGGCGAAAGGCCTCCGTCCACTCCCACCACTCGACAAAGAAGGAACGTTAGAAGGCGTTGAATGGTTCGGATTTCAAACGCTACACGTAGTAGAACTACAGTATGGCGAAATTCTTGCGAGAACTTATCGAGCATGTGCTCCACAAATCGCGTCGTGTCGTCAATTTTCGCTGTTTTCAAGAGTGTGGGTGCACGCGGCGTTTGTTGTCCGCGCAAGCTGTTTGCCCCCGCCTCCTCTCCCCCCACTGCCTACTCAGTCTGTGCTAACTCGAATCCCGGGGACTCCCGATGGTATTTGTCCCTCCGTTGCTCGCGTCGGTTGTCGACGCCAGACAAGACCCCCATAGACGTGGCGCAGGAGGCCTTCAAGCTCGGCAAGAAGCTCAAGCGGAGCGCGGCTGTCGTCAAAGAGCTTCTGGACCGGGTGAGAGCTCGCCCGCGCGGGGCTCTGTCTTCGCCAAGCCTCGACGGCCTTGGTCTCTTTCACCGCCTCGTTGAAGAACCCTGATTCCGAGACTGCCCATACACCAGTAGTGGTCCGTGTTCAACGGAAGTAGTCCCTGTATAAGGCCGCAGAATAAGGCCGGTTGCCCTGCAAGGTCGGTGAAATCACGCCACACAGACAGATGGAATGCTCAAGATACCTCGTTACTTTTTTTGTAGTAGTGCGGGGTGCCCGGTTTTGAGTCCGGTCTCGTGAACCATGACCAGCTTTGCCTTACACCGCCATCATCACCCTTCAACCGAGGCCCCGTTGTCTCGTAGAGCGACGAGTAGCGGCCCACGGCCGAACACCTCAAACGCCTCGGAGGTGCAAGAAACTCCCGACCAAGGCCCCGGCCCTCCGTCCACTATTGCTCCGGTTCGAAGAACGCGTGGTCATCCACCTCTCTCATGCAATATTTGCATACCTATTAGAGAATACACACACATTCAAAGAGAGAATGCCCGTTCGAGATACAGCCATAAACGACTCGGTCCGGAATTATATGGACCATTGGGACGATCACGTTGGTATCCGAATGTGCCCAACAGAGGTGGTATATTTAGTTGCATGTTTTTTATTGTCTGCATTCGCCGCGATCGACAGGCGAACGCTCAGATCTTGTACGCCGAAGGGATCGAGATGGCGCTGGAGCAGCTTCGCGGCGGAAACCCAGGGACAGCGTCTTCTCGAGAGGAGCTGTCGGTGTTGAGGGGCGTCGCCGAAGAACTGGGGATTCTCGGGGGTGCCGACGCCGCGCGGAGCTTCGCTTCCGCGTTCGGGGTGAAACAGGTTCGGTTCGCTCGGTTCGCGCCGCAAGTGATGGTGATTGCTGAGGTATAATAGTTTTGATGCATCGCCCGCCGCCCTGATACCTTTCTAGGAGCCAGGGGCGTCGTGTATCGCGCCTGCTGTTTGGGCCTGATCCTTGGACGATGGCTCGCCTATGCTTTCTTAGACGAATATGCATACGTACAGGCTCAGAATGATGACGGCTATGCGTCATATACAGAGATGCGACACCCCCCGTGAGCAAACCTTAAACGTACTACTATCAAACTCCCCATTTGTTTGCAGCGGTGGCGGATGTCCATTGCGAAGAACTTCTTTGTCTCGTCCTCATGTTATGCATGTGTGTACATGTTTGGCGGCGGTGTCGCCCTTCCATTTCTTTTTTTCTAATTCGCCTCGGCGGCCCCATGGGCTCCACCACCCGTTTCTCTCTCGGCACATTTTGGAGTTTCGACGTTCTCGCGAACGATTGGAGATATAATTGTAGCTTCGTTTGCCTTTTGTGAAGCGTTTCGTCCAATCGCCCTCCGGATCCCACCTGTCGCATATCGAGAACCAAAAGCACAGAGACAGAAGGTTTTGGGGTGATGCTGCTGTCTCCCACCCAACGGCACGAACCAGCCTAAAACAGACGTGCTTGCACTCCAACACCCCCCCAGGTCCAGTCCGGCGGAACAACCAATGACGGTTCGGGAAAGCGCGGGGGCAACAGGAAGGGTAACAGGAAGGGCGCGGCCGGGGGCAAGAAGGGCAAGGGCGGAGGCGGTGGCAGGGGGGGGGGTGGCAAGAAAGAGGCCCCGACCGCCGGTCTCCTCGAGCTGCGCCGGGAGCCCGGGGCGCCGGCGGTCCTCGTCGGGTAAGCTCCCGAAACGCTTGTTGCTGTTGTTGCGAAGAGAGGTCCCGCTGAACTGCTGTTCGCCTCCCTCTTTTCTCGCGCACGGAATATTGTTCGGAATGTTGTTGTTCTGCACGGCCCGCACTTACGAAGCTCTAGTTTAGGCCGAGGCTGGGGTTGTTAGCTCCCAGGGTTTTGCTGCAAATGGCCGTTATATAGGTTTTGGTGTAGGGGTTCCTAACCCAGCTCACAAATGGTGCTCAAGTTCTTAGATATTGAGTTTTTCGAGGCTATATGAACTTCTTGACTGCTGCCAAGTTCGCAGGTGCGTGCGCTAACTTTTTTCGATGGTGCAGCAGTAGGTGGTCACCCAGTGTCGTGTGTGCACGTAGGTGGCTCGATACAAGTAGCAACTTGAATAGTGAAGCTGCCGATATAGTGGCATCAAAATCTCTTGTCATAATCTCAACATTTACATGAACCCGACATATCGAATAGTGGCACGGCCCTGAATAGTGCCGTATTCTGCTCTTACCCCTACATGCCACTATATCGGGCCACCTACTGTAAGCGAAACCCACGGGCGCCAAAGCTTCGGCTCTGTTTTCTTCAGCTAGCCGTGGCTCGCTGGCTTAACTGAGCACACACAAAATCTCCTCCGAAAAGTTGGGTCCTTTGCACACGAGCGATTAGAGCTGGAATCAGGTTGCCCCGAAATGGCGCTCGTGCTCGTCGTTGTGTAGGAGGAATAACCAGCAGAACGAGCGAATCACGTTTTCGCTGGCGAGGGGCCATGAGCTGTGGCTGCACGCAAGAGGCGTGGCGGGAGCGCACGTGCTGCTGAGGCTGGACCCCGGGCAAGAGGTGGAGGACGATGACCTAGCCTTCGCCGCGGATGTCGCTGCTTTCTTCTCCAAAGCTCGACAGGTTTGTGCGTGGTGTGGGTTGTGCGGGCAATGGCTCTTGCGGGGTTCTGTTTGCCACGTTTGAGGCTGTTGGTTTAGTAGGCGGACGGGAGCGTGTGCGTGTTTTCTTGTGTGTCGAGGCGGCTGGCTGGATCGCTTGAAACCGTGGTATGTAGTAGAGCTTACCGAGAGATACTTCACGGGAAGCACCTTGTCAAGCTGCTGCTTGTATCGGGATCGCTTGAAGGGGAGCTGCTGCTCGTTTCGGGATCCAAGACGAAGTCGTGATGTCTGTTCGTTGCCACTAGAGTCATTCATCCTGCTGTTCAAATAAATCACATCCCTGTTGCTCTTGCCTCTTCCCTCTTTTTCCTGCGGAACCGGCTGGGCATGACTCACATCACCCTCCGCCAATGTGTTCCGCGATGATTCTCGTTGCAGTCAGCAAGCACCCCCGTAGACTACATTTCGCCGAAGATGGTAAAGAAGCTGGGGGGAGGCGGGCCGGGCATGGTCAAGTTCGACGGCGCGAAGGTGGTCCGGGGAGAGCCTGGCAGGTGTGCGAATGCCTGTGCGCTCTGCTCGAAGGCGTGTCGCTTTTGCCGTTCCGACTTTCGTCTTGTCAAGACAGCAGCGAAGTGCGGTTCCCTGTAGCGAGCGTTGGTCCAACCGGCGGTCACACAAGAAGCGGCTTATTTTCTCGAGATGCGCTTCCTCGAAGCTAGTCTGTCGGCGGCTATTTGTTTCCATGGCTATGTTGGGTTGGGTCGTGAAGCCTTTGTGTTGTTCCATTGCAACCATCCGTGGGCTGGCCGTGTGTGCGTTTTCACTCTCTCCCTCCCTCTCTCTCTCTCTCTCTCTCTCTATCTCTCTCTCTGTCTCTCTCTCTCTATCTCTCTCTCTCTGTGTGTCCTGTGCTGCTGTCCTACCCTTTTCGTCAGGCGCATATTTGCTTTGGTTCGTGCTAGGTGATGAACGGAGCGTGCATGCCGTACATCTATCGATATCTTCCAATGCCATGCTCCTGACTTTTATAACACCGTAGGCCTGTTGTGAGGGGTGTGTGTCGCTGAACTCCCCCCCGCTGCCACCGTTACCCCCGTAATCCGACTTTGGCCGCCCTGTTTTTTTTGTCTCGCTTACGGCACGCTCTCTTGTTTGGTGCGCTTGGTGTGAAGAGTGGAAGCCGCGGTTGCCGAGGCCACTCGTCTCAGGGAGGAGGCAGCAAGATAGCACGCACCGTGCTGGCCGCACTGAACGCTGGCGGTCGCGAGGCGATCCGCATAGGTACAACAATGCCTGGTGTCCTTACCGAAGTTCACTACTTGACGAGTCTAGAGATGGTGATGGTGCAACATATGAAGGTCCGCGGGTAGTGCGGAGAGGAAGGCACAGTCCGTGGTTCTGGACCTCCCCTCTTTTGGAGTTGCGGGTCGACCCGTGGCCAACCTGATGTTGCCATGCGCGCGAGCTGCTCCGTATTGCATGATATACCTGCGGCGCTGCTTCTTTGCTGCGATGCAATGTATACACCGACGGAGTAAATGTCTTCGGGAAATTGGTGATCAGTTGTCACGTTGGCAGAACGAAGGACTGTCATGCAGCTGTACACACTTCCTCGGCTTCCTACAACATGTTTTTGGGCGGCCGTCCGGCAGTTCACCCCAAGTGGGCGCCGGCAGTTAGAGGTCGTGGGTGAAGTTATCAGGTTCCAAGTTGCAAAGAGGAGACGACCCGATGGTTGGAAGTGCTTCTTGAAGGAACATGTCATCGTGTACATATGTCTTGAGAAGAGAGGACAGAAAAATGAACAATGCGGGAGGTTGTGTTGTGGCTCCCTGGCGTTCTGGCAGAGCACGGGAAGCAAAGATCTGTTTTTGTATGCGCCAAGTTATTGTATGCGCCAATAAGAATGGAGTGTGTGGAATAGATACACGCTGGGGAACTTTGGCGGATCTCAATAGACGCTCACAGGATGAAAATGAAGGCAGTTGCTCACACGAAGATGGGAAGAGCGAATCTCACATGAGATGAGGGAGGAAACGAGAAGAGAGCAACCATAGACAAGCAAGCATCGAGGAGAAAGAGATATACTCTGCGTTATTCTTCAGTTCACGTCCAGCGCGCTAGTTGGCTGACCGAATGAAGAGATGCCCGTTGACATTGTTTTTACGTTGTCAATAGGACCACTAATTTTTTCATGGGTTACAGATGCACGTCTATGCTGCCACGCATCTTGCCATAACGCACACGCACGCGTTCACACATGACAGGGGACATCAACAGACGATACATACATTGTCTCGTGCGCGACCTCGAATCGTACATCGCATACAAATGCACCAATCTTTGTGAAGTTGCCTTGCACCTCCCAACCCCAAAGGCACTGAAGTCGGCCTTGAGCAGTTATCAGGGTATGAACTCTTCGAAGGATATATCTCTGCCGCCGTCGCTTCGCCGTTCGTGCCAGGCCATAGCAGGAAACTGTTGTTTCGGCAACAAGCTCGTACAATTGTACGAGTCGTTCACTTTTCGCCAGGAGTTGGGTCCGACTCCTTAAGCAAGCGTCCATGCATACATCTCTCAGTGCCGGTGCCCCCCCAAAGGTCAGCATAGACCTACAGGCCAACCTTCAGGAAATCCATGGCCTCGAGGATTTGTCGGCGAACGACTTCGTCAGTGATTCCCAATCCCTCCGTTGGATGCAAGAGATACCTGTTTGGAAGCGTGGTGGAGTGCAGTCGCACCGGAGAGTTATGAGTGTGCGGTTCAGAGAGGTCCTTCCGGAAAAACCATCTGCTTACAGTAGAAGTGCGAATCAAATTGTCCGCTCTGAATATGTATGTACGGACCGATATGCCGGTCGAAACGAAAGAAAATGCTGTGTGTTCAGGGCGGGTAGTCTCAAGTGTGTTAGAGGAGTAGAAATCGGTGGCCTGACGCTTGCTTGCAGTCATGTATCGCTGTATCAGGGATCTTCTTTCGGATCTGCTCTCAATTCTCAATTGCTAACAACGCTGGCTTCCTCGTACGTATGTCTAATGTTTCAAATGTCTTGTCCGCACACATTGGTCCCCGCACACCTGTCTGTTACGCTTAATAGTGCGGTGCCGTCGACGCCACTGTCATGGAACTTGGAGATGATGTCGGCCCTCGGCGGTCTCATGATCTCCCGCAGCCAAGAAGTCACCTGCCTCGTGCCCCAGGCCCGGACATCTTTCAACCTAGGGGGTGAAGGAGGAACTCTCACACCCGGAGTGAGCACCGTCCCTATTCGAGACGAAGCGTGCCAGGCTTTGGGGCTAACTGCGGGGGAATGAGGAGTCACAACTGAACGGCCGGATGATATCTTCGGGACGGCGCCGGTATCACCAGGTCCCGACGACGATAAAGGCGATAGGGTAGAGCCATGTGTCCCGACGGCGCTGCTAAAGTTCGGTGGCGTCGAAAGTCCTCCTCGCGGCGGAGTTCCTCCAACTCCCGAGCGGCTTTGCGACGATACCGGCGACCTCAGAGAAGGTGGTCTGAAACCAACGGCAGCTCCAAAGGGAGGAGGATCCTGGAACCCGGACGGTGGTCCCCGCGATCTCTCAGACGTACCGGACGGCGACGCTGCGGTAGCGCGTGCGCCAAGCTCACCCTCACCCTTTTTACCTTTGCACTTGGGGCCGTGGGAAGGCACGAGGTGAAAGGGTAAGCTTTCGTGGCAGCGCATGCACGTTACCGTACGACCGGCGTCTCCCGGTCCTGATCCCGGTCCCGGTCCTGATCCGGGTCCCGGTCCCGGTCCCGGTCCCGGTCCTGGTTCAGGTCCTGGTCCGATCGCGAGAGCTCCTCCCTGCTGCGCATTGGCCTCGTCTCCGTGGCTAGCAAGCTCGTCACCCTTTTTTCTCGTTGTCTCGTTGTGTGGTTCAACCCGAGTGCCCGCCGTGGCGTCAAGGTTTCGCACGCGCGTAGCAGTAGCGGAAGCGTCTACAACACCTCCGCTTTCGACGGACTCCTTCATCGAGCAGGACCCCATGTGCTTCTCGAGGTTTCGCACTAGCACCTTGACCCCGCACTGGAAAGGGCACCTCACCAACCGAAGCTCACAAACCTGCACGATGGCAGTGACGTTTGTGGCTCCGTCAGGCTCGTACTGTTAGACGTTCTTCGTATGGTACAAGTTCTGGGTCGAGTATATTCTTCCAGTAACGAGTTTTTGCGATATTAACCGTCTCGTATTTCCGGCACCCTGTGTCAGATGCGACGGATAGAATCCTGCCAACTCTGCACAAGTTCCCCTCCTACACGTGCTGTGACGTAGCCGAACGCTAATACACATCGAGTTGGGGAGATGCTCACCTGTAAGTGCGTGCTCATGGCAGACTTAAGGTATCGTCGTAGGCAGAACTCGCATTGCGCTGTGACCACACCGGAGTCCTGCCAAGACACAACAGGCGTGCATCGCGAAGCCAACGGCTCAGTTGTTACTTCAGCAAACAGCACGATGAGTTTTGTAGGAATCCGTGTGTCGAATGCAGCGCGACGAGTTTCCGCAAGATCGCCCCTGACGAGTCCGGTCACCTTCGAAGCTGACCTATCCCTAAAGCTGACTGGCGCAGGACCCGTAGAAACTGCCGCCACCGACTTTCTCCTTGTCTCCGACGGCATTTCTGGCCGAGGCGCACGTGGCGGTGGCCCCTTTTGTGGATTTTTGTGGTGAACGCGTCCACCGTACGTGCTGACCCCTGCGGTGGCACTGACGTCATCGCAAGTACCTCTCTCCGACGTTGTCGGTGTTGAGCGCGAACTCGTCGGCTGCCGCGTCAACGCGATGTGGGGCCAAACGATGGGTGGTGCCAAAAGATTATGCGGAGGAATATGTAAGACAATGCCGTGAAGCGTCGACGTTTGTTACATGATTGTTTAGCTTGTCATCACCCTAACCTCAAATATGTCTTGTCACCTCCTGCTAGACATGTTGTCACTTTCGTCAAAATTATCACCAGCTTGCTAGCGAACGAGATACATCAAGTCAAAGTACACGAGCTTGAGATCGCGCGTGTTCCACCATCCAATCCTGCACACCGAACACACCGCGCATGTCTTTCCCACGCCAGGTCTCGAGCTAGAGTCGATGTTGTCGCACGTCTCTGGCAGCCCTAGCCCACGTTGCTGACCCACTACCGCCTCGTCGTCGTCCACTGAAAAGCTGCTGTCCGACGACGACCCTGACTTGGTAGACCTCGCCATCCGGGATTGAGACACGTCGCTCCCTCCCGCCTCTGTATCCGCAAGTTTTCCTTTGTCACTTGCACCCAGACCATCGCCCAACAACTTCGGGGGCGAAATGTTCAGATCTAAGGCTTCGGCTGGGGTTGTTGCAGCGAAAGGTTTTTCGGCACCACCAGGGTCGCCAGCCTGAGGGGCGTCGGTGCTGTCGACGGAGGGGGTGTGGAGTAGAGGCAACGGCGAGGGGGGTGGAGGTGAAGAAGAAGGCGCGGAGGAACCGCAGGAAGAAACAGAGGATGGCGAGGCGCAAGGAGACCGACCCCTGATCGACTGCGAAGGACGCCCGTCACCAGCTTCTTCTGCACTCGCCGCAAGAACGGCGTCTTCCTCGGCAGAAAATGACACGGCCGCCAACGCACTCTTTCGAAGAGTATCCGCTGAGGATGTGTGGATGACCTTTCGGTGGTCACGAAGCCTATCTGCTGGAGGTGGCTCCGTCAATTTTCCGTTCTTCTCCGGCGTTCCTATTCCTTCTCCGGTCTTGAACGGGTATGGCGCTTCGATGTCCTTGTCGGTGTTAACGACGCTCCCAACCGATCGTTGGTTACTCTCAGGAGGAGCCGAGTCTGCATCCCTTAGAGAGAAGGAATTGTTGTCAACGTCTCCCGAATTGTCATCCTGGTCGATATTTTCTTGGCCTGCTGTCGCATCGGCCGTGGCCACTCGCCCAGGCATCGAACAGAGACCCACGGCGCTGGAACACCCCACGTGCGTGGGCTGATCGTCACAAGCTTGAACGGCGGGTATCATCACCCCTGTGGCACTTTCTACGCCCTCCTCCGTCGCGATAGTGTTTGTAGAACCCGTTGCACCGTCCTGTTCCTCCGGGAGAACCTCTCCGCTTTCTTCGAGTGCTGTTTTGGGAGAGTCCGCAGCAAGCGTCGACGCAGTCGTCTGCGGGGGTCGCGCTGCCGATTGCACCGATTGGGCAAGAATCGGCATGTGATGGCCATCGATTGCCAGGGACGGAGCTTCTTCGTGCCTATCGCTGGCCCATTGCCCGGTACGTCTGCTAGTGTCGCGGGCATTCTGCGGGAGAACCACGTGCGCACGTACAAGGGGGAAGACAGACAGGGGCGGAATAGCGGGGTGGGTGGGAACAACAAGGGCAGTGTCAGTGGATCTCAAACATCCTCTTAAATATCTCCCTCCTTGTGCGTATGCGTCATTCCATTTACATGTTCTCCTCGTGGGGTACGTGAACGTGAGGGCCTGCCGATGTTTCAAATGATAAGTCCGCTGAGGAACGCGTAATCACCAGAGTACACGTAATCGCCAGAGTACACGTAATCACCAGAGTACACGTAATCACCAGACTACACGTAATCACCAGACTACACGTTTTCCACGTGGCATCTCCACCCTCATCAGCCCAAACTGCATGACGAAAATAGGAGCGTTTGTAGCCCACACAGAACGAGCGACACTTACTTGCGATGACAATACCGTTTGTCCTCTGCGGTGTTACCTGAATCTCGAGCTGCAGCTGCTTCAACTGTGAACCGATGGAGGTGACAGAGCTCCGAGTGTGCGAGTGGTCGCTCAGGGTGCTTGCCACAGATCCCTATCATCAAGGACCGCAAAATACGTGAGGAAATCGAGGAGGGTAGGGACGTCGCGTGGTCACCGCTACTGTGGTTGGTCTTGAACAATGTTTTCACTCGAGATCGTGTTCACGGCGACGGCCAGCGAGGAAGAATGAGAAACGCACGGTCGAAGAGAGTTGATGATTTTGTCCGCTCGCCCCGGCTAGAAACCGCATAGAAGGAAGGCGCTTCTATTTCCTGGGTTGGGTTGCGCCCACCACAAAACGAGGCGTAACATAAAACAGTGGGCGCATGCATCACTTCCGCGCACCAGAGCTCCCTTGTGAACAAAGGTCCGCTTACCTCGAGACGGTCGAGGCGATCGTGTATTCTCCCATGCCAGCTGTGTTCGGTTCGCTGAAGAGAAGCACGGATGTTGGATACCTCCTGTTCAACCTTCAGAACAGCAGCACAGTTCGAAGGGTCTGGCCGTGAGGGTGCGGGACTGTGGTGCTAGGCCTTTGGTGTGATTCTCTCACTTTCTGGCTCGCTGGCAATAATCAACTCTCTCGTGACCTTCTCCCTCAACCGTGGCAGCTGTTACTTCCCATGTATCATGGCGAACATCTGAGGCACCTCTAAAATGCTGCTTACCATCACGCTACACATGTCTCTGCCATACGAGACAACTCAACTCGGGGATAAACAGAACGGAAATGTGCCATAGCCGCGGGTTTTGTGCCACGCGTTTGGTTTTTTCCCGAACCCGTGAACCAAGTCGTTTGTTGTCTCCGAAGCGAGTCTTTGTTCACCTCGGCTCGGTCCTTGAGTCGATTTCCCCTCTCCCGCAACACTTCGCCGGAGATTTCCTCCATCCTGCGAAGGTCTGAGGCGCGAACCTGCCGCAAGAATCGGCGATTCAGTGTGGCCCAACGAAGTCAGGGCGAGCGTCAACCTGGGTAGTCGTCATGGTCGTTCCACCAGACAACAATCGACTCCTAAACAAAATAGTTCCCGGTATTCCTTTCTTTCAATTTTGGTCACCTCCTCGATCCTTCGCTGTAGGCTACCCTCGCTATCCTGCAACTCCCGCCGGATGCGGGCAGTTTCGCCCCCTTCACCGTCCGTCAGGTGTCGCTCGAGTGACACCGTTGTCAGCTCGACTCCCCTGATCTGATTTTCGGTGCATCGCGCGAAGGCGAACAGTGGGGCATGTGGCGTTTCTATCATTCTCTAAGTCGAGATAGTCCAAATTGGTTGGCTAGGCCATCTATATTATGCTCTACATGATGCATATGCTGTGTGTTTTGCCTCGGAAATGAGAGCGTTGACCCGAGCAGAAGCGTTGTAGCATTGGGTGTGAATCATGAACAGCAACCGTGTCACGCTTCTATCGTACGGGGATGCAGTTGGGTTGCATGCCGTAATCCTTTTTCGTGCACGATGAGCACATGCGCCCCCCCCCTGGTGGTCACCAGAAAAAATGCATGCATGCGCACAAGCCGAACCTACCGCCGCCTCTGCTCGACGCCACTTGTTTTCAGCTTCCTTGACTTGCTGAGAGACTGTGTCTATCTGCTCCTTCAATGCTGCCATTTCGTTCTCATGCTGCTTCCTCTCCTTGTTAAGAATCGCTTCCGTCCACCTCTTTTCCTGTGTGGCCAGAAGTGAGGTTGAACATATGGTACCAGTCATCAAGAAAACCATAGGTCATAGCAAGAACACCGTTATTCCCTGTCCCCAACCCATGCTTAAATCGTGTGCCATCCGACTCTTCCACGCTTCCACCATCCTGTCGCGTGTTGCACGCGAGAAGTACCGCCATGTTTTTTCGATAAATGGGTGTTGCAGAGCAGAAGCTCTTGATACCCTACAAGGTATATAGTCGTACTCAAAATCGAACGGCGTTGGTCGATCAACTCACTGAGGGAACCACAATATGCCACAAGGCCAACCATATGCCCGATGTTCTCGTGCACCAAGGATCCATGACGTACCTGGTCCGATCTCGCTTGTGACCGCTGCATTTCCGCCGTCAGTGCAGTCGTGATCGTTGTCGCTATCTCCTGAAAAGCACCGGTGTGCGGCAAGGGAGGCCTAATCACTTCATTCAATCGTGACCGAAATACGCCACGTTTTCTGTGGTCGAGCAACAAATGCGCAGTGCGATTCTCACAAGTCCTAGTACAACGCAGCATACGAATCCCACGTCAAAGTGATGCGCAACGACGTCATCTACGCTTCATTTTTGAAACTTGTTTATTATGCAGCATTCGATACTCTTACCTCTGATAATTCTTGGGTAGGGGTCCGCCCGCCGAGGGAAGCCTTGAGACCAGAAAGATCGTCCTCGAGATTCGACAATCGTACCTCCACCTTAAGTCAAACGGAGGTGCATGTATGTTGGCAAACACACAGTAGGCTTGCGGAGGAACCGATGACTCGACCTCTTCAACATCAAAACCTGAGTTGTTCAGCAGCGCTACACACAAAAGGCCGTTCATCCACGAGGCGCCCGGCAAGTATCACACTCGAGAAAACAGCCGTCTCGCGAAGACATGCCGACAAAACTTCGATGGTAAAGGCGAAGCCTGAACCCCTCCCCTCGTTGACGCGTTTGGTACAACGAAATCGTGACTGTTGTAGGTTCTCAAGCCGTCTACTGTTAGTGCGGCCGGGGCATGATGTGCGGCACATGAGCGTCGAGACTAGCAGAACATACACAACCCTCGACAACCTCGACCACCTGTTACTTCGTGGCTCGATTCATTTGAGATACATGTTCCTTTCCGTGGCGTATTGACGCTCCTATCCCTTGAGGACGACATATCTAGAAATGATCGTAGGTCACCTGCTCTCGGAACGGTCCAAAGGTTGACCTGATGCCATCGATTACTTGCCCGTGACTCACAGCTCCATGTAGTGCACTTTCGGCCGACACGCACCGGCGATCTAACACCGCCAACGCGTCGCGCATCTCGCACATCTGTTGTTTCCCACACAAAATCGCGAGAGGTGATCTGCTCATCCTTCCCGTGTGGTATGTGACATTCACGGACACGAGGTCATTTGGAAGCGCCAAGTGCTCTCGGCCAAGTCGAAACGTAGAAGAGCTCGACCGTGGCTAGCGCTGAATACCGCCAAACGCGCTATTTGCGCCAATTTTTGGGACTCGTAGTTGTTGGGTGGAATTTTAGCGATTGCCCAAAGCCGATCACACACTTGCTGGACGCGACAACGAGCACAGCACAAAATCGAACCGTTACGGAACTGTTCAAGGTGCCGCCAAAAGTTCTTCAGAATAGTGTTGAGCGATACCCCTCGTACGGTGCGATATTAAGCCGATCGCAGACGAAGAAGCATGCGAAGACGCGGGCTGCAACCATGGGTAGCCAAGACGCTTGAGGCTTCACTCGCTCACGTGTGTTTCAGTTTGAACCTGTCGGTCTTGGAGAGCTGCCACCGCCCCTTCCGCTTTGCTCCGCGTGACGCGATACTCTGTGAGGTCGTTGTCCTGCTCGGACAAGCGTCTCTCCACCAGCGCCATCCGTTGGACAGCCTCTCGAACCTTCGACAAGAAAAACGCACGCTGCCTTAGGACCACCGCCACCTATTCGGCGGCATGCATGGCCCACCCTCTCTCAATAAAGAGATTGTTCTCTGAGAATGTGGACTGCACCGACCGTCGATAGTTTTGTTTTTACGGTGTTTCACACCCTTGTATGTTGGATGGGGTACTCACCTCCATCATATTTCGTCCAGAATCGTCCCTTAGGACCCCTAATGCGTGATCCAATGAAACCTGGCGCGGTGAATGAAAGCCGACGGTACATTACTCCTTCAGTAAGAAATGGGGTCATGCAGAACGGGGAGTATGGTTGACGGGCTATCCCCCTTCTGTAGCTGCCGTTGACGAGACGTCGGACATGAAGTTTGAGGATAACAAAATCACGGTTCAACATGCAGATACACGCCGCATGTTTGGAACCTTAACGTGATGTACCAACAGATATTACTACCTACCATCACACACTCCGAGACCGTCCTCGACGGTGGCCTTTCTTGTCCCAACAATGGAGATTCTAGCATTCTAGCGGCACTGCTACAGGAGCCGATTTGCCTTTCGGGAGTCTGACAGGAAGTAGGCTGGAAGGTGCAGTCAACGTGTGTAGTTCGTTTGGGTTGCAGACGTGACAGTAGTGGGAGCTTGGTCGGTCTTCCGACTTCGCTGTGATCTTTCCGAACAGGAAACGCACGTTAAGGTTACCTGCTTCTGGCGCAAGCCATCCGTGACTGTATCAAGACGTTGCAACATGATCGGGTCCGACGTGTAGCTTCCAGAGACAGGATGAGCCGCCGATCTTCGCGCTGAAGAGACCCGCGAGTCGGAAAGTGAGTTCGTCGTGGCGGTCACGTTGTAGTGTCTCACTGCAGGGCTTCGCCTGAAGGATTCGTCTCTGGCAAAACGAAACATCGAAACAGCAGGGGCAAGATAGGCTCAGGCAAGCTAGGGGCTTACTGAGTGATGTCTTTCCGCAAGCGCCTATTGTACGGACATGATGACCTGTTGACGTGTGGTACACATAGAACGACATTTACTTTTCGAATGTTGCACCCTAGAATCCTTCCAGGCTCTCCAACCTCAGAGCGCCCTTCCGCTACGCTACCATACCCTCTGTCAAGACCAACATCCTCCACTAACATACTATCGTACCCGTCAAGTTTTCTCCACGCCTCTTGAACTAAGGCAGACGCTCGTAGATCATGATCTCGGACGGTGGGCCCCTGGTTGACTGATGGTTCCTCCATGTTCCGCTGATTTGTGTAGGACAAATTGGAATCTGGCGGCAAACATCCCTCTACGTGACGCACGATCTGTTCCGACATCAGCTCCCAGTCCATCTTAGATCAGATGGTCAACGAATAGTCAACTTTTATGATCCATGCAAGGGATCCTTTGTCCTGGTGGCTCCCGGTTCAATGAATGAGCTGGCGAAGATCTCCGAAGATCTCCAGCGTTCGTCAGCAGGTGCACCAGCAAACTCATGAACTGTACCAAGCTGGTCATCGAGCAGTCACATAAAATGCGCTGTTTTTATCTTGAACGAAATAGACACCATCAACATAAAGGACTTTGAGAGATGCCTCGAAACGGATAGGAAGAAGAAATTCGAGGAGTGGTTGGTGCCAGCCAGGTGCCAGCCGAAGGTTGGATCTGAGATCTGAGATCTGAGATCTGGGTGGATGTGAACCTTTTTTTCGCACGCTCACGAGCGCGGTTTCACCCGAACCGTCACGAGAACCAGCCGACGGAGCATCTCGGTACGGCGGCGAGGAGTGCAAGACACGCTCAACACACGCACCACGCTAGCTTGGCTCTTGTTGATATTCAGCGAAAGCACGGACACGGACCGATGGCAGGCTCAGGGCGCCAGGGGAATGCCCTACCGACAGATGATCGCGACTTGTGCGTCATCGCATCAAGCCTGAACTGCCAACAACCCCGATCGCAGGTCTCTGCCCGTCCCATGCCGAATCGCGCTGGTACCGCACCTTTCCCCGACTTACGCCGGCCCGTTCTTCCTTCACACCCACCTCTGCTCCAGCCACGTGTCCAATCCTATGGAAAGCCAGCAACACGCGCCACAAACCCAACGAGCAGAGCGGTGCCTTGTGCCGGTCAACTGATTCCCTTTTCGACCAAAGCTCAGGACGGCATGCCGGATCCCAGCGAGCGCAACAGCAGCAACAGCAGTGTCAACTCGTCCAAAAGCAGAGCGGCTACAACCGAGCTTCCCTCGGCAGAGGGCCGCTCGGGACGCTCCTGGAGCGAGCTGGGAAGGGTTCCTGGTTCCCATGGAGCAAGAGCGGGAGGTCTTCGGGGACGAACGCGGAAAGCGTTGGCTGGAACGACACGCGAATGTCGCGTTGGCGATGCCAGTCAAACAGACCCAACCTCAATCGCGCAGTGCTCGAGACGTGCGGACAACGGGCAAGGGAGTGCTCGATCTGTGAGTTCAGGATGTAGATCATCGGCAACCCATTACACTACTATTCGGTATGTCGTGTTCGCCATGATGAAGTATTAATCAAACTTTCAGTGCACAGCCGACTTCGCAGCAAACCGGAGCCTTCGTAGACGATAGAAACGCCTTCGACCTTCGAGATGCTTGTCTGTTGGCTCGATGCTTTCATGTTTCCTGGCGGGGTGTTAAGGTATACAGCATTGACTTGTAGCGTAGTGGATATGTTGTTCACCAATTGTTCACCCAAGTAGGCTTGGGTACCAAGTAACCGGTGTGATACGCACTTTGAGCTTCCGGCGTGGTGGGCCACCCATCGTGCACCTCATCGACGTTGTTGTTGTCCGGCAGGAGCAGCTCCTGACCCGCAAAAGGAGCTTGCCGGGAGTGACGGCTCTGTCGGAAGACGTCTTGGTCCAAATATGCGAGTACATTCATGAGCAGGACATAGTCCGGTGAGGGACAGAATACGGGAGTTCAAGGTTCTTGATTTTCCTTTTGAGGCTTGCGTATGCGGCCGTGTCCTTGTTGATGTGCCGCCTGCTTTGCATCACGGAAAGCGGACACTTTTTTCGTTCCGCGGCAATCTTGCAAAGACTGTTCGCTGTGGGTAAAACCTTTCAAGATCGCTCGCCGCATGGTTTGATCACTGGTATCGGCTCCAACGCCCGCTTCCAACGCGTGCGCGACGTTTCCCTCCCGTAGGCTGTCCACAGCCTCTCCAGCGGCGTTCGACGACAGGCTATGGCAGCAGCTACATCTCGTTCGCTACGGTAAGGAGCGATAGAATAGAGCGCCCCCCCCCCCTCGGGATTGGGTTTTCGTCGCTTGGCAACGACGTTGTAAAAAAGCCAATTCACTTCGTGAACTCGTCAACCAGGTTACCGGGTTTTTTTTACCTCTGTTTTTCTTTTTTGGCGGTAACCATAATGGTGGTCGAGTAGATCATGTTGTGCGGGGTCGAGAACCCTCACTCCGCGCAAGGGGGATGGTCGCACCACGTTGTGTTAAATTGGTCAAGTATCCTCGAGGCAGTTACACAGTGCTTATAGCTGTCTCTGGCAATGAAAGCACCAGAAAATAAATGAAGTCATACGTAGCTGTCGTCCGTACACAAGGAAGTAAGCACAAGATGCCGAACACCCTTAGCAGGATGCAGCGCACCCTTCATGCGACTCGCCGAATACCTCACGGCGCTTCTCGCTTGGTGATGTGAGAGCCTGGTCCGGTGAGAACCCGGCGTGCTCCGTCCCGGCTTTGTAGGAATGCGAGGTCAATGGTCTAACGACTTCGGCATGCACGACTATGAGTACACCCCCCCCCCCCCCCCCCTGCGAATGGGGCGTGTGATGCCTAGGCACATGAGCAAAAGGGGTAGCAGATAAGGTCGCAAGCTCCCAGAGGTCGCCAAGTTCCCGTAGCTTCAAGCTTTCCTAGCGCTGATCCGTTTTGTCATCCTCCCCGGATACAGTAACACCACAGCGAGACGCCCGCCATCAACAGACGCAATTCTTTACACATACCCCGCATGAAAGCGTCACCGCCTGACTGACTCATCACGCCCGCAGGATCACCGAATAACTCCTGCCTGGAGGGTCTTCCGTTCGCACACTCTTCCAAGCTTCAGCTCCAGAGCGACTTCCCGATGTACCACTCGAGGTTATTCGCCATCCGGTGCCATCATCGGTGCATCCGTTCCATGTGAGGGTCGAGAATAACCGCAGCAAGTCAGCAACACGTCTAAATAGATGGAAATTAAACGACACAACCTAGATCGGCGCGTTTTCAGGGGAAAATCTGCTTTGGCTGGGCTCGTGGTTGCCGCGACAGGCAGCTGAATCGGACGATCGATAGCCCGGAGCGTTCACTATTGGCGGGAGAATTCTGCAACAAAGAGCTTACCCTAGTCACGAGATTAAACTCGACGCTTCACAACCTCTTGGTACGGCAGAAACTCGCATCCTTCTCATGACAGCCTTGCGGAAAACTTTCTAGGTGGTCTTGTCGGTCTTAACTGTCCTTTCCTTTGGTTGCCCTTACCCTGGCCCGCCTTCTACAGGGTTCCGCCGGACGGCAGCTGCTGCTCTCGGTTGATGTTTGCGGCCGAAGCGCTGACGCGGGAGGACCGGTTGTTGCGCAGTAATGAAGAAACAAGCCGGTGAGAAACATACCAGATCATTTGTTGAAATCCTGTGAGCAGCTTTGTTCTGTCCTCCCATCATCATCATCATATTTGTTTCCGGTCCCGCATCTTACCACGACTTCAACGTCAGGAGATGTCGGTGTGTCTCGATCTCAGCCGCTTTCGTGTTCTTTCAATCTTCCTTGAACTTTTCTTTTTCCTTCGTACCAAAGCGTTGGGTACGATACCTAAATCATTTTTTTCTGGCCGGTGACGGGGCGATGCAGGTTGGACAGAGCGAAACTTCGTCGGAAGCAGCATTCCACCCGTGCCTCTGTGATGCGAGAGCTAGCCATTGCGAAGCGGGCCAGCACGGAAGAGGTAGGAGGTACAATGTACTCTGGGTCAGTGAAAATGCCGGCATTGCTTCCTTTTGTAGCACCGGTCTGTTTTGTCGTGGCTCAGCTCTCTGTTGAGAGACAGTCGGTCCCTTCAAAGGATCGTGAATGAATCGATGATAAAACGTTTAACACGTTCGGGTTTTAGATGAGTGGCAGCCTTATTGGACCGCTCCTGGGATGTATTGTTGCTACACCTGAAGAACGC